TTTCCAATCAAAAACCCTGCGTCAAGAATCCAATATCCATCCTTTATATATCTCCTATGACCGATAAAAAACCACGCATCATATGAAATGAGAGAAGAGAATATGATTTTACCCAGCATGCCATAAGGCCCTCTTTAGCCATCTATTGGGGGTTTTGCTTCTTAATAACCCGGTCGTTTTGCAAGATTTTAGCCTTCTATGTCCAGCGGCTATTAAATTCCTTGTAAACGAGTATTGACGGTTGCTCATATATAATTTTTGAGACGATTCTAATGATATAAATAGATTGCGAAAGAAAGAGAATCAATCGAATTCTTGAGAATAATCATAATAATAATAAGATTATCATTATCGAAGATAGAATTCAAAATGAAAATCTCAAATCCCCAGAATATTCATTTCAATATAAAAAATCAGCAAGAAACTAAGTGAGCTCGCAGACCGTCCAGAGAATTTATGAAATGAAAATTTATCAAAATAATGAGAAGATTGCTCGAATATCAGAAACCAAATTCTACCAAATCATCAAAATCAGAAATTCTAAAAGAGAAATGAATACCAAAGAAATATCTATCAAATAATCGAAACCAATTACATTAGATTTAGATTATCGAAAAATGAAAATCTATCATATTAGAATTGATAGATTCTAATTTATATCAATCAATTTCATTCGAAAATATTTTCATATGAATAAAGATATTTATATATCAATAGAAATATATTAAAAAAATCAATATATCTGGAAATATCAATTAACGTATATTATATTATATTTTATTATATGATTCTTAATATATAATCAAAGAATTTAGATAATTCTTAAATGAACGAGTGGATTATATTTCTTGATAATAACTTATGCCTCTAGATTTAGATAATAATGATAATAAGATGAAATTTATTAAATAATATAGATAAATTTTCTGATCTCTCCCAATCAATGAATTCTCATTCTTTTCATCTCTTTCATTCTCATTTCGAAAAAATTCTCTCATTCATATCTATCCTCCCCTGATCTCTCGAATCTTTGAAGATATATTATTTGAAATATCTCTATATTTCTGGAGGCAAGACCCTATTCCGAAATCCATCAAAGAAATGAGATATATCGGGGAAATATTTCCTTCCCCATTCCTTGATCTCGTTCTGACGTGGACGTCATCCTTTCATATTTATAAAATAGGATTCTAGATCCCTCGCAAATTCGGTCCCCAAATGGCCACGCGCTATTTTTTTTTTTTTTGGGAAGCCTCTCGGAAATGTCTGCTCCTGATAGCTCGAGCCCTGACCCTAGAACGACGGGAGAATACCCATGGGGGTCCCTTTGGTTGGCGCGGCATAAGCCCAGTTCTGGTACTCGACCGCTATCGCGCCGACCGTGTTCAGGAAAATCCTTCTGCATTGTGATGGGTTGCTACCACTACCAGGTCACTACCGCAATCCACCACATCCACAACCCCCACCAAGAAGAAGAAGAAAAAGAAGAAAAACAACAACCAATAACAACCAACAACAACAACAAACAACCACTAACAACAACCACAAACAACAAACAACCACTAACAACAACCACAAACAACAAACAACAACCACACGCACACACAACACACAACAAACAAAACACACACAGGCATACATACATACATACATACATACATACATACATACAGACACACACACACATACATACATACATACATACATACATACATACATACATACATACATACATACATACATACAAGCATACATACATACATACATGCATACATACATACATACATACATACATA